TTATCTATTTACTTACATTAATAATTTGTTTTGTTTATTTATTTTTTCCATTCTTTTGCGCTTACATCATTTTATCCATACTGTTTATTTTTCTTATTTGTTGCTTTTAGCTGTATCATTTACAAAAATTTAACTAACACACCCTGTTTCATTTTCTTCATTTTTATCTTTTTCACTCTGCCTGTGTTCAATTTCTTTCATTCAATTCGATATGATATATTTTAATTTCATTCATTGTGGTTTGTTTAATTAGCATCGTAGCTTAAACAAAAGCATTGATAAAAATGAATTAATAAATGATGGAATTATTACATGCTATGAAAGTAATGGAAGTGTAATATGTTTATTAATTGACTGTGCATACGAGCGAAATCATTTATTTGTTTATATGTAAGTGCAATTAATGAATTCATTAATTTAACTTTTTTCTTTTTTCATTCCTCATTACACTTTCAATTTTTGCATTGTAGATTTGTAATGACGAAAGGAATAACGGAACGAAAAGATCTCGGCGATTTCATCGAGCTTGGTAAATATACCGGCTTTTTATGTTTACTGTATGAATTATTGGTCGTTTCACAAGTTAGCAATCTTATCTACATGATTTATGGTGGTTTGTTTCTTCTGTTTTTTAAAATTTATTTTTATTAAAAATTTTGCGAAACCTTATTTGTTATATTTTTGTTGAATGAAAAATTTTCAAATATGCTCAATCATTCCGGAATTTTTCCAAAATGGAAATTTTTTACATGTTTGTTTGGAATTGATTCCTTTGTTTATTATTTTGCTACATTACAGAAATTCTTTCCCAATTTTTTTTTTTCATATTCAGAAATATGTAGTTTTAGGGATAGGTTATTATTGATCGATTTGTGATTATTTTCATTTATCTCAAAAAATTATTTCCTAAAAAATTTCTCAACGTGCGTAACATATTTTAAATCTTCTTTCCAGAGCAAAAAAAAATATTTTATACTTTTGAACATATTTTTGCTAAAAAATAATTCATCTGTTTAAGAAAAAGAAAAACCAATTTCTGTTTATTTTATAGAAATCTTATTTACATATTTCTAATCATTTATAAGTATTTTCTTATGCTAAAACATTCTTTTGCAAAGCAATAATTGTATCATTTACTTTATTTCCTTATTTATTTACTTACCTTATCAACATTAATTCATTTGAACATTTTTCATCTCAAATTTATTCCTTCGCTTATCTTATTTTTCTCACGTTTTCATTGTTTACATTGAACGTTTTGTGGTAATTTATAATATCATATCAGGATATTTAACTAAATTTATTTTCTGAAAGTATGAACAAATGGTACTTTTCTGAAAAACTCACTATTTTTTTGCCCTTTTTTTCACAAGCAAAGAAACAAAAGAAATGCAGATTTCATTGATATCAAAAAAATTGAGAAAATGGAGATTATTTAACATATCATTATTAAGATATATCAATCATTCAGTTCAACTAACAGATGCTCATATTCATCATGCTAATACCATTTATTTCCATCAATCAAACTGATGGAAGTACTAAAAAAAAGTTCTGCTTTCATAAATCTAAAATTTATTGTGCTTTTTGGATGATTAGAAATTTTATAGACAATTTAAAGAATTTTCAAATATTTAAATGCTTTCCCAGTTAATTGCTTCTTATTTTCTTTCAAAATTATTTTTCACTTAAAAAGAAGAAAGTGAAATCTGAAGCAATAAAAATAGGAATGAAATGAGATTTTAATGACGCAAAAAAATGTTATTCTCCTTTTTGTTTTTGAATTAAAAAAAAAAAGAATTAAATGCTTAAATCGACGTTAACTTAAAATCTTAGCATATACTTATTTTAATATATAAAGAATAGAAGAAATTTTGCGATCAATTCTTTAGAACAAATGATTATATTCCATATTTAAAATTCATATAATAAGAATGAAAGATAGGGAAGTTCCACCACTTCCATTCTTATTTCAAATGTTAAATGATTTGGTTTTAAATTCGTTATTTTTTTGGGCAGAAAAGATGTAATTTTACTTTAAGTTCTTCGTGTCAATTTCCTGAACAGATAATTAATATTTGAATAAAATTATCAAATTAACTTTTTGTTAAAAATTAACTTTTCAGGTGCTGCGGTTCATGTAAAAGGATGCGATGGACATATGTTTGACGGTGTGACACCAAAGCAACAATGTGCGCAGTACAATAGTTATGTGAATTCAACGGAAGGATGTCTCGATCCGATTTTGAGCGCAGATTTTGAATCAGTCGGTAATGAAGTGAGTAATGATATGAGTAAAATAATGATAATTTTTGTAAATGCACTATCCGTTAAGCGTTTTCAAAAAATTTTCTAATTTTGATGGCAATAAATAGATTGAAGGATAATAAAGTCTGAAAAGAGCTAACAATGAAATTAAATATTTAAGTAATTAGTTCCACTCATTGAATGATATTGTGAAATGCAATTTAGGAAAATGTATTGTCAATTTGTTGCCTTTACTCAAATATGCGCCATCAGATAGTTTGAACATTTCTGCTACTTTGGATTTTTTTTCCATTTCATCCTGTTAATATTTAAATATTTTAGTTTCATTATTTTTGCGATTCAGCAAATCAAGTTAAAATAAGCATATCGTTGCAAATGATTGGCATTATGTTTGGTGCGATGACATTTGGACAACTATCGGATATGTTTGGTCGAAGAGCGGTGAGTTATTCTTTGTTTTTATATTAAAATCCAATAAGCCAATCGATGATAACAGGTAATTTATATTTGGACGAAATGATTTTTTAACATTGGTTAAGATTCGAATTAAATTTATTAAAGGATCATATTCTAAGATTGCAAATGACAGGCGAACTATATGCAACCTGAACACTCGATAGTCATAATAATTTGAATATCAATTTTAATCTTTCTAATATTAAATCCATTTGATGTATTACTTCATTAACTAATCGTTTATAATTAAAAAAGTATTTTCTTGAGCGAGACTCTTTCTCTACAGAAGAATCTTTTTAATAATTATCTTGATTTTGTAATCCTAGTTTGTATATTTTAACATTAAAAATTATTCTTTGACGGATTATATCGAAAATATATTTGTTTGAAATAATTTACAGTTGCCGTCCTTAAGCTTTAAGCAGAAAATACGTTAAAATGAATTAAAATAAAGTGATAATTATGCATTAATTTCCAGATTCTTTTGTTTGGAACAATTGGCTTAATCATCAGCGGTTTGGCATCAACATTTGTAAACAGTTTGGTTGCCTTTACAGTTGCACGATTTTTCGTGATGTTTTTCACAGGTGGAAAACACAGGTTAAATCTTTCCTGATATTTCTGAATTCAGTAATTTATGAAATTCAATTATAGTGCGAACTTTTTGTAGCCATCAGTCAAAAATGGCAAAACAAACGATCCTGACCGATGATGACTAATTTAAATCAAATTTGAATAAATTTATACAATATATTGCCACTGCACTATTTTTACTATTGAAATATTCAAATCAAACATCATGAAAAAAAGCTTCGTTAAATAAATTAATGGGAAAGAAAAATGAAAATTTTTTAATTAGAACTGATGAAAAAGAAAAATAAAAATACCAATAAAATGAACTAGTATTTAGACAATTGTTAATTGTTTAAATACCAGTTCATTTTGATTTAGA